AAAACATATCACAGCGATGATATTGTCAGTGAAAGTTACTTTTTTTGCATTTTTCTCACACAAACAGCACTTTTACTGATGATATAATTGTTGTGATACGTTTTCCAGTTTTTAAACACTAATATTTGTGTTCAGCGATGTCTCCCGAGTAAAACAGTACCCCAAATTTTTACATTGAAAATGGCCAGGTTGGTTACGTTGCCTTTGAGAGCGTATGGTAGCCCAGGAATGAGAATTACCCCCATGATGGCATACCATTTGCAAAAGAAGACAACCCAAGGTATTGCAAATGGGGTATGTCCAGTCTTTTTTAGTAACCACTTGGTCACAAACACTGGCCAAAATTAGCGTTCAATTTAGTTTTTTTACTTTTTTCACACACAAACAAATATGAATGCTTACTTTGGCCAGTGTTTTCGACTAAGTGGCTACTAAAAAAGACTGGACATACCCCATATTGAATACCCTGGGTTGTCTACTTTAAAAAAAATATGTACATGTGGGGTGTTATTCAGAGATTTATGACAGATAATAGTGTTACAATGTCACTATTGATAAATTTTAAAAATGTATGTTTTGAAACCGCAATATCCTACTTGTACCTATAGCCCTATAACATGCAAAAAAAAGCAAAAAAGCACGTAAACACTAGGTATTTTTAAACTCAGGACAAAATTTTGAATCTATTTAGCAGTTTTTTTCATTCGCTTTTGTAGATGAGTAAAAGATTTTTCAAGTAAAAGTCAAAAAACATGTATTTTTTCAATTTTTCATCAGATTTTTGTATTTTTTTTAAATTAAAATACATGAGATTATATAAATAATGGTATGTAAAGAAAGCCCATTTTGTCCTGAAAAAAACAATATATAATTTGTATGGGAACAGTAAATGAGAAAGCGGAAAATTACAGCCAAACACAAACACCACAAAAGTGTAAAAATATTCCTGGTCGCAAATGTACAACATCGCAAAAACAGTCCAGTCCTTAAGGGGTTAATATTTCTTTTATTTTTTTACTGTATTTTTATATTTTTTAGTATTTTTTTATCTCGGCCCAGCCTTTCTTTCTCCTTGTTGCACGTTTTAAACAGAGAGGGTGAGAGGGCTACCCTCTGTAAGGTTGCTGCCTATCCACTGTATTATTAGCGCTAACCTACCCCTTTTTTCTTTATGATTATACAAGGTTTGAAATGGCAAATACCACACTCTGATGTATAAAAAAATGCTTTTGTGCTCATTAAGCCAGACTTCCTTACCCTCAACTTGCAGCCTCGTCTTGTGTTGTAGGGTACTGCTATATCACACTGGGGATTGCTATACTCTGTATAATCCCCTGGATCACTGCTAGCTCTTGTAAGAGCTCTCTTCAGCTATACAGCTATACTCTGCTGGAGGAGAGACCCAGCTATACTCTCTTGGAGGAGAGACCCAGCTATACTCTCTTGAAGGAGAGACCCAGCTATACTCTCTTGGAGGAGAGACCCAGCTATACTCTCTTGGAGGAGAGACCCAGCTATACTCTCTTGGAGGAGAGGTCCTTCCCACACATTCCTGGATCCAGAGGTAGGAGTCCCAGGGTGGGAAGGAGACGGCAAGATCCCAACCAGCTACGGCAGTTCGTGGAGTCTGCAGTGCTTATGGTGTCTGGTGTGGTGCTGATGGTCCTTGGTAAGTGCTAGGATCATCTGTCGGTGGAGATATCCGTTACAGGACTATAACCTAACAGACTGGGATAAATTGATACACAAAAGGGTAGATCTTATTAATAGTGTAATATGAAAGTTTTTATAAGCACCACAATCAAATTAGGAATTGTCGCTCGCTGTTTCTTTTTTCTTTATACAACTCAGGCCAATTTTTGAGGTCAGAAATCTTGAAGGGAGACTTGCGATTTATAAATCAGGATTCTTTCTTGATCATTGAGTTAGTTAAAAGTCGAGAATTAGATTGAGAGAAGAGCGGATTTATTAAGATATTGTTATACAGCGTGGAATACAATGTTGAATTTTTTTCTTTTTTGTTTGTCTGTTTCCCTTTTTTCCCCCTATTTTGTCACTATTTTGGGATACTATGAATTTGTTTAATGAGTGAGATAATTCTAAAAGATGAGTAAAATAAATAACAATGTAAAATGTTGTGAATGAATAAATGCTGTATTGTACCCCAAGAGAATGTTAAATTGTATAAAACAATATAAACATTTAAAACAAAAAATTAAAAAATAAACTTGTAAGTTAATTTTCTAACTTGACCTTCAAATGTAATAGGAAGGTACATTCCCACCATATATGCCGTATAGTTCCAGTTTACTTCTCGCATCTCAAACAAAGATCACTAATGTTGGGATGAAACTTACTTAACCTGTTTGGTGTCAGATACCATCTGTGTAAAATTTTGAGATAATTCAATTAATGTGAGTTTTAAAGAAGGGCCTGCCTCCTGTTTCAGTAAGGCTAATATAGGGCATTTTGCCTTTGTTAGAATGAACACAAGCAAGCATGACATATATATATACATATTTACAGGGTACAAGGTGCTGCACACTCTCTCTTGAATGTTGCTGTTTTTAGGTACAAAGTAAATATTCTAATTTTCTTTGTTGCCGTAACTGCAGAAATATTTACACGTTTCCCTACTTTAATGTGGAACATAAATCACCTCTTTACCTTCTTGATTGTCACATTAATTTTATAATATAGCCATTTCTGATGGGTTAATGAATGTTATAATTATCTTTTCGCTCCTTCTTTAGACTTATACTATTTCTTCTTTTACGTTCATCCAACTACCATTTAATTATTTGAATTATTTTATAGAATTTTTCTTCTTGAGGTTTAATTATTGTTTGCTTGTAATATGTCACCAATATAGTGTGTGTGTGGGCAGTCACCCCTTAATCTACTTTTTCTTTAATGTTCTTCTTTTCCATAGGTGCTAGAGATTACTAGGCCCTCCCCTTCTTTTATCTTTTTCAGCACAGTGGTCAGAAGGCCGCTTGGTAGACATTAAACACATCCAATTTTTTCTTCATTCTGTTTTGTTCTTTTTGGTGTCCCCTGATATTTTGTTTTGGGGAATGGATTTTATGTGTTCATATTTACTAGCACACATTGCCTTGTTTATCTCTTGTTCAACATAATAAATGGGCATATTAAGGAACCTGTTCCAGTTAATATCTTGGAAATCTTCAAGTGTGGTACAAAGTGTTTGATTCAATACCAGTACTGACACCACACTACCCAAAGTAACGCACTCACCTACAAGTGAGTAATTCATTTTTATATATTTTATCATATGGATGGTTCATTTAAAAAAAAAAAGCAACTTTTTTCTTTTTTGGTTTCATTTACTTTAAAATGAAAATGTTTTGTATTTATTGGAAATATGGGATTCAAATCTAGCATTAACATAAGATTACACTACTCTTTTAAACCACTCAACGTCAGTTCTGGTTTATTGTATGCCAAATATAGTGGACTTGTATCATTTTTGCTAAAACTGATCTTTTGTCAAGGCTTACAGATTGGCAAAGAAGCAGAAATATGATTTTTTTTAACATTTGATTACTGTGATAAATATTGACACAAAAAATGTAAATCCCCAGTTTAGGGATATTTGTAAAGAACCTAAAATAATTTTAAAAGATTTTTCTTACTTTCTAAACTTACCACCAGAATGTAGAAATAATGGCCTGGAATCTCTTAGAAGAGCATTTTGCTTACTGGATTGCAAATCATTAATTTAGGGCTATGATAAAAAATGCTATTCAATAAACCATTCAGGGAAAAAAATTAACCAACACCACTAGAAATTTCTGTAGCAATATGACCTCACATGCGTTTTGAAGTCCAGACAACACTTAGAGTTCAATTTAAATATTTATGATGTTTCTCTGCCATGTTGTCACAGGGCCATATCTCTTGTCAGGTCTCCCTCCACTCTCCACGCTACACGGCCGCAAGCCATGTAGCTTCCAAAGGCCACAATCAAAAGAGACAGTCGCTAATTTTTATACTGGTGGTGCAGACGTGCGTGCATCTTCACGTCATCAAAGTGCACCCACGTTTTGCCATCACCAGATCCCAGTAACCAATGGGAGTCTTTCTTGGGCTATTTAAACTCACTTGTCTATTTGTTTGATGACCTGCCGTTGTTTCAATTTTTGTGGTTTATCCAAGAGTGCATTTATTTCTTGTATTTACTGGCATTTGACCTTGGTTTATCTTTGACTATTCTCCCTTCTGATTGTCCGTGACCTTTGGCTTTTCCTTATGTTTAGTTTGAATTCTATATCCCTGACCGCAGCTTGTCTTGAACTATACTTTGTGTGTTAAATCTGGCCATTCTAAGGTAATACGCTTGATTTTAGTATTTGCTTCCCTTATGTTTGCCTTTTGGATCCTGTCTGTCCATTGCACATGTTTATTTTGGTGTGTAATTAGAATTTTGCTCATTATTATTATTAGCATTTATATAGCTCCCAGATATTTCACAATTTTTTAATTTATAGATAGGGGGTATATGAAGGCTCTGCTTAAATTAGCTTACAATATGAGTATTTGAGGTATACACATATTGTTTGGTGCCTTGTGTGAAGCATCTAGTGCCAAAGGTAAGAACACGTATAAGTATGGGACTGGGATTTGAACCTGAGTTTCCAAGTTATGACATTACCAGCCAATGTACATGCATGACAATGTTGATATAGCACTTTTATTTAGAAAAGCATTAACTTTGCAACCCTCAGTTGTTTATGAGAATTGTTTTTTCCTTGTAGAGTGAAGAGCAGTTCTGGATAAAACTGAAAAGAAAGTGGTAATATATTAGGTGTTTATTTGCAATCCAGAATGAATCATAACTCATATGTAGAAATCTTAGAAATTAATTGTTTAAGGTCAGTTTATGAAAGAAAATTCTGGAGACAATTGAAATAATGTATCTTTATTTGTATTTAAATTTAGAGATGATAAAATGAAAAATGAAAAATGAAATGCGGTGAGTCCTGCCTTGTCATGTTAATGTCTGTACAATTAATGTTTATTGAATGTTTCTGCAGGAAATGAGAGAATACGATTTGTTGCTGGAATACTTGTCATATAGTCCATTTTTCAACAGGTGAACAATGACTCATTTACATTAAATATGATGTTTACTGGGCAATTAACCCCTTAAGGACCAAACTTCTGGAATAAAAGGGAATCATGACATGACACACATGTCATGTGTCCTTAAGGGGTTAAACTGTGAAAGAAAATAGTAATTATTAAGCAAAATACCAAAATCCAAGCCTGTTTACTTAGACTTACAAAAATATCCAGCTCTCAATTGTAACAAAATGTTTTCGAAGTATGAACAAAGTGCACAGTATGAAAAGATGTCATTACATTTTCTTTTAGATTTAAGTTATCATACATGCATGTCTTAGTGTCTGTATACATTAACAAGCCAAAGTCTGAAGCCTGGTCATAAATATTTCTTAAAAATTCAATAGGTTTGTTCAAAATAGATTCCTTCATTCATAGTCTGTTACACAGCAACAAATTAGGATAACAATTAGTTACAAGAGAATCACTCTTGCACTAAAATGCATTTACAAAATAATAAATAGTATTTGTTTTTTAATAAATTTTTTATGGGGGGGGGGGGCGGCGGTGTGCCATCTTTACAAATAAAAAAAGCGATTAATTCAGTACAAATAATTACAATTTGACAAAATGCTAAACCGAAATTTGGAACAGAAGCTTACAATCAAGGACAAAGGCACAAATAGTATCTAATAACATACATCTCAGATGAATGTCTCATGTGGCCACCAATGAGACGTTCTTGTGACAGCATTAGGCATTATGGTCACAAACCCAATTGTTTTTTACATGGAAACACCACATCTTAAAGAGTTAAGCTAGGCACCATAATCATGACCTGCTGATGTAGGGTTAATGGTGCCAATCAGTCACATACTTTATTTAACCAAAACTGGTGGGCTCCGTGGCACTGACATCGCTGCTCATCGATTACTTGTGCAGAAGTTCCACTTCTGCATTAGCAATACCAGTTTTATATCTATGTTAAACCCATTAATTTGCTAAGTGCATCAGTAAATGCACTCAGTCGATAATCAAATTTAAAAGAGGATGAAATGTGTACTGCTAAGGCAGGAATAGAACTTCCATATTAGCCTTAGATAAGTAGGGGCTTTGCTACAGACTCCTGTGGTTATGGTGCCTAGACTGCTTCTTTAATGTGCTCTTGTTCATAACGTCCATTCCGAACTGCGAAGATACACTATTAACAGCAGGTATACAAGCATGTAATGAAACTTCACATTGAAGAATGGATATTTACCAGTGATTTATGAGGGTTCTGTTATAAATGGAGACACATTTAGCAGAAACCTAGTAAGTCAGGCAAATGTATTTGCCCTATAAATATTATTAAAGGAACAATATATATTTTTATAAGAATTAAGTATGGCAAAGACTTTGGGCCTCCTTTGCCCCCTTCTGTTAATTAAAGAAGTAAGTTACTCCTAATCCATTGGTAAGAGTGTCCCTCACTACAGCTCTGCTCTATCCACTGGGAGATTGCTAGTACAGATGGCCTCCTGGCCAATTTGATGGATGTAATAGAAAATCATCGAAACACAGGGGACATGCATAGCAATCTCTATGCTGCACCTACAATGTTTCTCAAAGAGAAGCACTGAATCGAAGAAATATGAGAATATATCTGTTGTGGCACATTCCATTCAAGAAGAGCACCTTTCTTTCTGTCTTATTCACAGCTGGGGGGTGCAAACCTATCAATTTATAAAAGTGCCAATTTGTCTTGAATTCAGCACTTTTATAAGGTAAAGTAACAATCATGCCAAAGCATAAATAAGTTATTAGTTATGATACTTCATTGCCAACTGCAGACTTGTAGAGTTATAATTTGCATATGTCCAACATTCAAGGACAAGGCTTCTGGTGTAGCAGAGCAGTCACATGGTGCACTAGCTCCATTTAACAACCTTGCAGAATGGAGACCCCACGGCCTTACTACGATGGCAGATGGGAGATGTAACCTACTCACCTTTCAAATGCTTGGAAGGGGATAGCCTGTTAGTGATAGGAGAGATGTCTGTCTCCGAAATAAAACTCACTAAGATGTTGCAGTCCCTGCGTTCTACCATGAGGGCAGACTTCAGCTTAATGACAGAAAATATTCACAGAGACCTGCGTGAGTTGGGTTCAAGGACAGATGCTCTAGAAACTAGGAACAATATCTGCATTCAAGGAGTTACGGATTCGGTCACTCAGGACGCATTGCCTGTTTGATAAAGGAAATATTCATGGCAGTGCTACCTTTTGTGGCAGAGTCTGATCTACTATTGGACAGAGCCCATCCGGTTTATTAGCCTGGAAATTTAGCGTCGGAGTTAGTAAGAGATGTGGTGGTGAGACTTCCTTACTATCATGTAAAAGAGGTAATTGTCGGGGAAAAGACCTGAATAAAATACTTCAAGGTTTTCGGATTAGATAATATCGAACGCTCGGGAAGTCAGACACACAGACACAGATTGATTTCTACCATTTAAAGTATGCTTAAAGTACATTCCACGAATAATTCCACGCATAATAAATTGCATTTTAACTAAAAGATCTAAAACTATATTCAGTAATCATGAGAAAAATATATGGTTCAGTAAGTAGTCCTTCACATAATCCTGTAGGCTGCCAGATGATCACCCTCGATGTCAGAAGGATTTTCCCATTTTGCCCTATACGCTGACCTATCTGCCATGACAATGGCGAAGAGGAGAGAAGAATTTCTCGGTGCCCTAAAATCGTAACATGAAAAGAAATGCGTGACAAATTTAAGATCTTGGGGTCACAGGTCGACAAGAAACAAAATGAATGTATACCCACAGTGCATCATCGAAAGATGGAACAGTGACTATAAATGTCTTAGGTTGAGGACCTTCCAGCAATTTTCACTAAGTGTAATTTTTTTGTTTAATTTTATTTAATCTCGAAATTTGAGGTACCACATATGTGGATCACATGTGATGCACAGTCCACCCATGACAAAGTCTTATGTCAAAATTTTCTTTAGGCTCATATCACTCCTTATGGTCTACCTGACTAAACCATTAAAATCTCACATAAGTCCTTATGCACCTCTCTTCTCTCTACAGATATTCATGGCACAACAGTTTAGTATTTTGACATGAAATGTCAATAGAGTAAATGCTTCACATAAGAGGAGACTAACAATCCAACAACTGCTCACCTTACCAGCAGCAATAGTTTGCCTCCAAGACATACACTTTTGCAGATGGAAACCAACACATTTTTCCTAAAAAGTATACCCATCCGTATGCCACTTATATGCTCCAAGTAAATCAAGAGAATGAAGTGTTTTACTCAACACAGATTTAACAAACCCAATGTCAGCCCCTACCTCCCCATCTCAGCCTCTATCTCCCCCATAACTTCACCACAGCCTCTACCTACCCATAACCCTCATCTCAGGCCCGCCTCTCCCTCCAATCTAAGCCCCTACTTCTCCCATCACAGCCACTATCTCCCCATCACAGCTCCTATGCCCCCCCTAAACCCTCCCACAGTCCCTATGTCCTCTTTAGCCCCTATTACCGTCCCTATCTCCCCAAAACACCCATCACAGCCCTTATCTCCCCATAACAACCTTCACAGCCCAGATTCCCTTATCAAAGCCCCTATCCCCATCACCCCTATATCCCCACTTCTGCACCATTTCCACATTATAGCCCCTATCACCCACATTAGTGTGCCTATACCCCTTTTCACAAGCCCTATCCCTCATCACAGCCATTATCCCCCAGTAAAACCCCTCTACAGTTCTGCACCAACCCACCCTCACAGCCGCTATCCCCCATCACAATCTCCCTACCCCCATCACAGCCCCCGTTTTCCCACATTAGTCATAACCCCTACACAATGCAACCCTTATCCCCTGCATATACTGCTGCTCAAATAAAAAAAAGTAATGGTGCTTGGCTGCTGAATTTGATTCACAGATCAGAACCAAACAGCTTCTTCCCAGGGACCTGATTGTACAGGGTTAAAGGGACACTATAGGCAATAGCAAGACCACTTAATGTTATCTCACATATATATATTCTTATTCTTATTATAGCCAAATTTGCCACCCTAACGCCTCCCAGAGTTTTTACACTACATAGACAAAAATTTACCAAAACGTGCAGATTGTTCCCGATCGGATTGCTATTACTTTGTGGAACGTTTCGCCGTATGGTTCACGGAATATCGTCGTTCTTGTGGCGAAATTTGTCCCATAGGAATGAATGGCAAAGCTAGAGTGGGAGCTGGCAAAAGCTGAAAAATCAGGACATGATTTCTAAACTGCCACCACTCCCTTATTTTCAGGCCCACCTACACAAATCTTATATCAAAACGTTCAGCTATCCCTGCTGCCACTAAACATGTCAACGGCTAAGCCATAGTCCTGACAGTTTTCACAATATAATTATTTGTTTGCAACTAACGCCGTCCATTGACATTCATTGAAACTTCACTCTGCAAAGCTCAAATTTGAAGTGCAATTTCTAAACTGCGACTGTGCCTTCATTTTTAATACTTCAGAGACATACTATGCATCAAAATGTAGGTCTGGGTCTTGTGACTCTCACAATATAAAGCTCTTCACTGTAGGATAGATAGTTTTTAAAATACGACCGTTTGAAGATGGCAACCACCAAAATACTCTGACCTGTGCCAGGCTGCAGCAGCAAGTGATGTCATAGACAGGGCCTTTTGAACACCTGCTAATGTTTTTATAAATGAATGGTTTAATGTAAATGTGCAACAACGTTGCAATTAAATGTGCTATATAAATGATAACAGTTACTCCGCCCACTCCAGTTGTAGACTACTGGTGGAGGCAAGAACACTTCACACAATTTCCCCAGAAATTGTAGCTTTTCTTATTGTTTTTATTATGATGAATATAATTATTCCCTTAAGGCTTTTTGCAGCAGCAAACACTGCCTTTTCAGGGAAAAGGCAGTGTTTACATGACAGCCTAAGGATACCTCCATTGACCACTCCTCATATGGCTACTAGAGGTGCTTCCTGAGGCACCACTACCATTCAGTGTCTCCACCCTCTGCATGGACTTTTTTTCTGATTCAGTTCATCTCTATGAGGAGATGCTGATTGGCCAAGGCTTTGTTTGATTTGTGCTGGCTCTGCCCCGATGTGCCGCCTTGACATGTATAGTGGATGTAGGGTGTGTGTAGTGGATGTGGTATGTGTGTCATGGATGCAGTGTGTGTATAGTGGATGTAGAATGTACGTTTTGTGTAATGTATGTAATGTTTGTATTCATGCATTAGATGCAGAGTGTGTGTGTGTGTGTGTAGTGAATGTATGTGTGTATAGTGAGTGCAGAGTGTGTGTTTTTGTAGTGGATGTAGTGTTTTTTTGTAGTGGATGTAGTATGTGTACAGTGAATGCAAAGTGTGTGTTTTTGTAGTGTATGTAGTGTGTATAGTGCATGTAGTGTTTGTCAGGGGCGTATTAGCCGCGAGGCAAACAAGGCATTTGCCTTGGGCGGCATTTTTCAGGGGGCGGCAAAAAACGCCGCCCCCCAAATGCCCAGGGCAAATGCCTTGTTAGCCTTGCGGCTAACAGACATCCCGAGCGGGCGGGCGGCGCTGGCAGGCGGGCGGCTGGCGAGGGAGCACTTCCTCTGAGCTGTCAGCTCAGCTCCCTCGCGCACCGCAAAGTGAGACTGGGAGCCGGAAGATGATTGTAACGGATCACCTGGCACCCCGACTGGGTACCTCCGTTGAAAGATGCTCCTAGCGCTTCCTGAGGACTCCAAGCACTGCAGCAGACACCACAACCACCGAACTGGAGAAGCATATGAATCCTCTCAAGCATATGAATGCTGTAGACAGTTGAATAGGAACCATACGAATAGGTTTACTCTCCTAGCAGTCAAACTGGAACAGCATACAATAAATCCTTCCCCCAATAATGAGACGACACTTCACTTTGAGGGTTAAACAGGAACTCCCTGTACTGTCACATACAGTCTCTTTTATTCCCAATCCACAAACATAGTACAGCCTACAGGGCGTTACAAAACAACCAATCACATATCAGTTACATCCCACATATTCCCTCCCCTTATCCTGAGAGGAAACTCAATTACACATACAGTTAAAACATACTTCTACCCAACTTTCATAACTCTAAAACCATACATCACATTCACATAAAATTACATATGCACAATCAATCCATTCAGGGGAACAACATATTCAAAATGGCACAAATCAGACAAGGGGTTCAAAAGTTAGTAAAAAGTCCTTTGTGACTAAATGAAGCATGGCTTTCTGGCCTAAACCAGTTTCAGAGTCTTCTATCCTGGAGATAAGTAATTCAATTATCTCACAGGACAGACACAAGACTCCATTAAGCACATGGTTGCAAAAAGACACAAAACACTTTAAAATACATAAAGTCACATTTACACATAAAACACAGACATGTCACATATCCCCAGATAGCTGGGATCTGAGCGCACAAAACTACCAAATAGCGCTCAGATCCTATTCACACAGTTCAATTGCCATGGAGCCGAAGTCTTTAACTACACGAATGGGCTCCATGGTATAGCTATCTGGGTTAACACATTCACATAAAGTCTGGTCCATAGTCCAAAGGCAAGAGGCGGGCAAGCAGCCCCCTCCAAGGACACGTGGCGAGGCCGGTTTCGCCACATTTCTCCCTTTTACCATCCAGACTAACAGGGTATCTGACCTCCTGCCGGTCAGTGCCCTGGTTAGTCCTGCAACCCACCCACGAAGCACAAACAGCAATACAGCCTACCCACAATAACTGGTTACTACACCTGGATAAAATAGCAACTTGTCCATGTCCAGGTGCCTCACCACAGCTGTGCGGGGGTCTGGTAGACTGCCTTGGTGGGTTGCTGAGTGGGCAGAGACCAGCGGTACTCTGCCCGGGTGCCAGTGCTACCACTGAAGTAGCCTGGTTGGAGCCTGGTTGTGGGAGGGGGAGACCGACTGTCTCTCCTCTGGATACACTGCTCTGTGGCTGGGGGACAGGACCGACCGTCCCTACCCCTGGTGCTGCAAGTGTAGAGACTACGGTCCCATCTGCATAGTTGTGGGGCTTAACATCTCCCCTTGGTGGGTTAGGCTGCCGCTGGAGAGAGGGTGTAACAAGCTCCTCTCTCTGAACTGTAGACTGCCGCTGGGGAGAGGGGGTAACCTGCTCCTCTCCCTGACACCCTCTTTGCTGGTGGAGAGGGGGACCAACTGTCTCCCCTTTCAATATTTTGTCCTGCGGCTGGGGTGAAAGACAGACTGTCTCCGCTTCCTGCAGGACACACTGCCGCTGGGGAGGAAGGACTGCACCTTCCGTTCCCTGGGAAAAAGACTGCCGCTGGGGAGGAAGGACCGCACCTTCAGCTCCCTGGGACTCACACTGGCGCTGGGGAGGAATGACTGCACCTTTGGCTCCCTGGAACTCACACTGTTGCTGGGGAGGAAGGACAGCACCTTCGGCTCCCTGGAACTCACACTGCCACTGGGGAGGAAGGACGACCCCTTCGGCTCCCTGGGACTCACACTGCCGCTGGGGAGGAAGGACGGCACCTTCTGCTCCCTGGGGTACACACTGCCGCTGGGGATTTGGGCCGACCACCCAGCATCCCTGTAGGGCCGTAGAGAGACCGCCCCATTCCACCCGCCATCTGTGGGTCTTCTTCCCAGGACCAGTCTGTGAGGTCCCTCAACATTTAAGTGGTAAGGACCACCTGCTTCCGCAGACCTGGCAACCCGCTGCTGCTGGGGATCTGGGCCGTCCCATCTCCACTCAAGAAGGCCTGTTGTGGTTCCTCACAGGACCAGTCTATGAGACCCCTACTGGTTCCCGCGTCACCAGGGGAGACGGCTAGCCTTCCTCGGATGCAGCCTCTACTCGCTGCTGTAACACTCCTTCCGCTGGAGCATATTTACCCTCTTTCGCCAGACGGAATTCTCGGCCAGCCTTGTGTTTTCGCCGGGCCGCACCTGGTTCCAGATCACCCGGCGTACCTCCATGGGTAAATCATCCCCATACTGGGCCACTCGCTGCCTCACCTCGGCCATCCAATCATCGCCAGAGCATTCCATACTTGTCTGCTCCAAGTCGCTGGATACCTCTGTTCCCAGGGGCGCTGCACGTGTGCTAGCGTTGCCCTAAATTTGTAACTCCAAACGAACTGTGTCTCTGAGCTGCTTTACCTCGCACTAGGACGCCATCCCACCGCTTGCCACCAATGTAACGGATCACCTGGCACCCCAACTGGGTACCTCCGTTAAAGGATGCTCCTAGCGCTTCCTGAGGACTCCACGCACTGCAGCAGACACCACATCCACCGAACCGGAGAAGCATATGAATCCTCTCAAGCATATGAATGCTGTAGACAGTTGAATAGAAACCATACGAATAGGTTTACTCTCCTAGCAGTCAAACTGGAACAGCATACAATAAATCCTTCCCCCAATAATAAGACGACACTTCACTTTGAGGGTTAAAACAGGG